TGTAGTAGTAGTAGTAGTAGTAGTAGTAGTAGTTGTTGTTGTTGTTGTTGTTGTTGTTGTTGTTGTTGTAATTGTAGTAGTAGTAGTAGTAGTAGTAGTAGTAGTAGTAGTAGTAGTAGAAGTAGTAGTAGCCGTACTAGTAGTAGTAGTAGTAGTAGTAGTAGTAGTAGTAGTAAGTAGTGGCAGCAGCAGCAGCAGCAGCAGCAGCAGTAGTAGTAGTAGTAGTAGTGGTGGTGATGGTGGTGATGGTAGTACCAATGGTGGTAGCAGTAGTAGTTGTCGTAGTAGTCGTCGTAGTAGTGGCAGTAGTAGTAGTAGTAGTAGTAGTAGTAGTAGTAGTAGTAGTAGTAGCAGCGCAGCAGCAGGAGTAGCAGTAGTGGTCGTAGTGGTGGCGGTAGCAGTTGTAGCAGAAGGAGGAATAAGCACGTGTGTTTCGTGGTTGTGGTAGGTTTAGTAGTCGTCGTGGAGCCACACATTTCTACAGGCAATGGTCGTAAGCCTGGTGACAGTAGTCTTGAGACATGAGACACTATCGTCAACTTTGCTGCTGATGTGGGCTCTGCTGATGTTGTTGGCACTGGTGGTGTTGGTTTTGGCCTGGGTGCTGGTGCTGTAGCTGGTGTTGTTGTCGTCGTCGGTCGTGTTTGCCGTCGTCATGTTTTATTCTGCCATCCCACACCGGGGGCCACGCGCCATGGCCAGGTCATTGTTCTCAATCCTGCATCGAGCGATGATTTTCCACATGGGCTCGCTGAGCTTTACAGCTGCGTCGGTCAGGATTCTCTAACAATGCGCGATGCAGGATTCTCCGCGCGCGCAGGTGTGGGAACTGGATTTTATGGCACCCTAAGCCCATGTTAGACTTCAGGGACACAAACAGCCCCAGAGCACTTCCTGCCAGGCTAGCGGCGGAGTCTCGAAGGGTTGTCGGAGCTTCGGTTACTAAAATGACTTGCTATGCATGGTTAAGTAAAATACCAGCTTCACCATTGCTGAAAGTCTAGTCGTCTGCACAGAACTACATTGACATGGCTTCAGTTAAATGCATGACAGTTGAGGCCTAGACTTCGGGGCCATGCCCCGAATCGGATCGCAAAGAGCACGCATCGCATGCCCGATCCCAACACAACATTGTATGTTTCATCTGCGAAGTCAGGAAGATTCGAACCCATAATGTACTCACCCTGCATGCATTTAACATGTTCAAAGGTACTGGGGTTATTTCGGAGGTGCAGCCTTAGTCCTCGAAACCGAGCCTTACAGCTTATACCCGAACTGTTATACTGATTGTTCCTACTACGGTGCCTCTAGCTGGCTTCTTTGAGTCATCTTCGAAGTTGCCCCTCGCCCCATCCCGCCATGTGTGAGTCCCCGTCCCCCTTAGGCTGCGGCTGAATCTCCCCAGCTAGAAGGAGGGCTCTGCACATGCCCGGGCCATCGCCAGCTTCCTGGCACTGTCACGCTGGAGTGCGGCAAAGTGCTGATGCTATTGCTACTGCTATTGAGTGCTATCTAAACCTCCAGCGCGAGCCTCTGCCAAAGAATCCGTCGGATGATAGATGAGACATGCTTTCATTTTTAAAATGTTGTTATTCCTGCTTCCGGTCGCGCTACCGCTGCAGTTTCCATTGCGACGAATAACCTCGACTATTTTTGTTGCTGCTACTGCTACTGCTGCTGCTGCTGCTGCTGCTGCTGCGCTACAACTAGGACTGCGGTGACGACGGCGACGACTACTATACTACTCCATCTACCTTTTGCGGCGAGCTAGGTCTTTTAAATTTCAATCTCGCAACTTTCGTGAATTTCCAACTCGAAACTTTTAGACTTCCAAACTCAAAAGCGCTCAAACTTTGAGAGCCAATCAAACTCGACCGCAATAAAAGTTTAAAGTTTGAGCTCTAAGCAGCCAGTCGAGCTCGAAAGTTCGTGAGTTTGGAGTTTCGAGTCTGAAAAGTTCGAAGTTTCACGCCGGCTCTCGTGCATGCCAAGCTGCTCAAACTTTCGAACTGCAGCACCTGTCGAATCTTCGAACTTTCAATCGTCGAAACTCTCAAATTTCAACCTTCAAACTTTCGAACCTTCGAGTTCGAGTGACCTGGCTCGGGACACCGTTCCTTTTTCCACCTCAAAGACTGGGGCAGAGAGGCCTCTCGAGAGTGAGAGAGAACTTCCTGTTTGAAAGGGTTTAGGGCTCGAGGCTGGAAGCCTTTAGAATTTAGGGTGCCCGCTGCTTCCCTTGCCAGTGTGAAGATTGGAGGGCAGGGGGGGGGCACCTCTGAAGTAGGCAGAGCTCTAAGTGGTCCCTGTGAGCAGTTATCGCCCCACACATAACCTTAAAGCAAGAAGCATACGTGAAGAGAGCTGGGATTTGGGGTAAGGTTCCTTTCGATGGTTTGGTGCGGTGCTTGGGGAGTTTGAACTACCACATCGCTGAAGCCACCGCTGGGCTTTGGTTAGGATCCACCCCTGTGGTGGTGTGGGTGGTTGTGGGTTGCTTCCCCCTTCCCTGTGGGTGGTGTGGTTCGGGGTTGGCTCTGCATGTGGCGGTTGCCCCCTTCCCCCCCCCCGAATGGTTCCCCCGCCCCCCCGTGGTTGTGGGTTGCTTCACTCTTGGGTGGTGTGGGGCGGGGGGGATACCATTGGGGGGGTGGGGGTGGGGGGGGGGTCGGTGAACCGAATATATGGCCCCTTCAGGTCTGGGTTCTATCAAAGGCAACGCCGACATGGTGAGAGTTGAGCGCAAGCCTGAAGGGTCAACGTCTAATTCCTACTTTCAGATACTGCAAAATTTCACCTGCTGCTTTGTCGTCATCGCTCGGTTTGTGCTGTGGCGCCACACTGGACTTGGATCAAGGCATAAACAACCACAGCTCCCCAACTTTTGAAAGTGTGATCCCATTCCCTGGTGCTCAAACCTGTGCAACCAGTAGTATTCCCAATACATGTCGAGAGTCAGAAAGATGCGAACACCAGTTGGAACTTCTCAAGGACCCCCAGTCTTGGAGACTCGAAGCCAGGCTATGCGGAGCCTGCAAAATACCGCAAGACCAGGCAAGATGCCCTTGCAAGACCAAGCTCTGAAAGCCGAGACTACCTGGCACTTGTTCGAGGAGTCGACGGCACTTCGCCATGCCTCTGCTGAAGCTCTCGGCTTGTGGGGCCCTTTGGGAGGAGAGCGTGCGTTCAGCACTTGCAGCTACGTCAAAAAGTCATGGCTTTAGGGCTTAGGCTGTTGTCGATTATAGGTACAAGATTTGACTTATGGCTTCAGGAACGAGGTACAACTATACCTCTGCATGTGCAGACTCGCAAAAGCACCTACAAGTACATTCATACTGGATACATACATAAGTGCATTGCATAGCGTTACGGTACATGTAACTCCTGGCCTACTTGGCCTTACTTGTAAATCTTCCTGCCGAAGGCATCAACATAACAGACGCCTGTGTAGCTGAAGAAGTGAAGCAAGGGATTGCAACAACAAATTATCAGCCCACCGCAAGACAGCCTCCTCTCTTAACGTTTGCACTTCTATTAAGTTACATGCAAGTGCATCTATATATATATATATATATATAGAAAGCGTCTATCCGCAGGCTCGAGTTTTGAAGCTCTCTGTTTTCCCATACCATAGGCTAGGATGTTACAAGAGTCTTGCATCTATTTGTTTCTATGGATACAAGAAAAGTTATTGAACAAAGTGTTGTCTGATCTGAGGGCTCCTGCAGGAACAACGCGCGTGGATAGTGTCTGCAACATTAGGTAGCCTAAACCACAGAGCCAAAAGGCCTGATGTCCAGAAAGCGTCTATGCATATGCATAAACACATATTTACGTATGTCTGTATGCGTGAATGTCCTAAGCTTACATCCTTGTGATCTCTGCGTGCAGTCTCCAACAACTTCGACGTAGACCACGGCTTTAAACACTCGAGTATGGGCATTAGATGCCGAGCTGAGATCAAACCCCAGCGGGGGATTTCTGCCGCAGGGACCGGAAACCAAAACAATTGATATCTGCTACCCGGATGCAGGATTCTCCTTTTCTTTCTCGGTCGGCACGGCTTGGGCTATCCTGAAGCCTGAACCTCTAAGGTTGGAGGGTGTTATGGGCCTGCTCCTGCAAAGCCCTAGCTTGAGCATCATCCTGTCCTGCCCCAACCCCTGGATCTCGCGACCCCTGAAACCTAAGCCCTAAATCGGAAAGCAATGGAAGCCAAAGGGCCTCCATTCTCCGTCCTAATCGCAGCATAGCTCTTCCGCGAAATAACAGCGCCTGGTTTGGAGCTTTGTGCTTGGGGCTTGACTCGGAGGGCCTTAGAAGTAGGAATGGCGATTGCAAATGCCGCCAGAATAGAGACAAGCATTGCAAAGCAGTGTGGATAACCTGAGTGCAAACATCCTATCAGTAGTTGCCTTGAGCGGTTCTGTGCAAAATGAGCTTCCAAACGATGCCTGGCAAAGACTGAGGCAGAAATTGCGGCCCAACCCAACATCCCTAGACCTTAGATTACGCTTGCAAGGGAAGTCTCGTAACAAAAGGAGTAATGGGCCTCAGGACTCAAACGAAGATGAGCAACTAGTGGCAACTTATCCTTCCTATTCCTACCTCGAAGCCCGAACATGGGGCCTTAATAATTGGAATGGGGTTTGGGGGTCTTATCTTCGTACAAGCACAATACGGAACCCAAAGGACTAGTACTGGCAACTCTCCAAGCTTCTATATTCACCTCCTGAACCTTGCACCGAGGGATGAGATGAGTTAACTGCAAGGAAAACGCCACCTTCTCCGGATCAGCCCTATATCCCGGAGACCCGGAACCGAAGCGATCCTTGCGGACGGCTCTGCTTCTGCTTCCTTCACAGTCTCCATACAGTTTCGAACGCTTCAGCTGAACATGGTGGACAAGGCATTCATGAAGTTTTAATGTAAGCTAGTTAGAACTTGCGCAGGTCCAACAGAGCGATGTTGACGCAGCCTGCCTGCCACACCATACTCATTGCCATGCGACTAATCAGGACCGCCGAGTTCAGCAGCACCCGCGAGGCACACGGAGGACCCAAGAAGTACATGGGGGAAAAGTGAAATGCGCCAAGGAATGCGAACAAGCTGGTGGGGGTGGGTGCAGTGGGAGCAGCATTAGTCACATCAGCACTAGAGTCGAGTTAGCGAGAATGGCGAACTTGCCAAAAGGATCTACCCGAGCAGTCCGGCCTGGCCCCAGGTGCGCTTCATCCTCCGATCTCTCACAGCTTCTGTGCTTAAATGTCATCGGGCTCTTGGGTAGTCGGGTTCTGAGGACCCGGTCCCGTTGGCCCCAAAGGCAGGTTTTGGAGGCATCGGCCCTTCGGACCTGAACTTCGCTTCGGGGACACCTCCTAGCACTCCTCTAATGAGGCCCCGTGGCTTCCGTCTGGGAGTTGTGCTGAAGTCTCGAGTTACTCTAGGGCTTAGGGGTCTTTGAAGGCGGAAGGGTGCTCACGTTTATGCAAGACTTGATCTGTCCGGCCCGATTGCGATTCGAAATTCCGAAACAGCTTGAGCCGTTAACGCCTAACCCAGTAGTAAACCCAACCTAGCATGATCCAAACTCCTAAGCTCGGTCTGTAGTCGCAGCGAAGTTAAGTCGCAAGCTGGGAATGGCTACCGTTCAATTCTTGCTGTCCGTCCTTGTTCCTATCATTGCCTATGTACAAGAAGCCCCTTCAGCAATCTATCTCTCTCTCTCTCTCTCTCTCTCTCTCTCTCTCTCTCGCTCTCTCAAAGGCATTCGACATGTCAAGCCTGGCTGCAGGACGCGGATGGTTCACGTGATACTAAACATGATTGGAACTTGAAGCTGCCGCCTCAATCCCAAGAATCCGGTGAGCACTAAACCCTGAAACCTAAACAACCCTATTCCCTCCGGTTTTGCTCGTGCTATGATTCCCCTTGGTAGCTCGCTGAACCCTGCATCGTCACGTCATGTCACGTCCACCTGGCTTTGCCAGCAGCGGCAACGGCATCCGCGCAGGCACGCGCTGCCAATTCCAAGTAGTAGCCTAGTTTCGAGCAGGGGTTTAGGCTGAGGGGATCCAGGTCACCCTCATTGTTGTCATGAGCAGTCTAAGATGACTGGACATGCTCGTCTGCGAGAGAACTATTGTCATGGCTTGCATGCTGCTGTAATTTCTTATTGCTATCATCATTGATAGAATCTATAATTAATGGCTGGCCTTTGCGTCTGTTTTGCCTCCCGCCTGGCTGAATGGGTCGATCTGCAGGTTTTGGGTTCGAGGCCGTTATTTTGTCTCGACGAGAGTCGAGACCTTCAACACCACAAGCCAGGGCTGCTCTCAATGGGCTTTGCAGTGCGAGTACACCTTAACAACAAAAGCCCTGCGAGACTGCACCAAAAACCACGTCTTTCCTCGCAGGCAGACTTTTGCGCTTTGTTGCACGTCTCTTGGGTTTCGTGGATGGATGGAATTGAATCTTTTTTGCATTCGGAGAGGCCCACCCAGTGCTATTTTGCATTCGGAGAGGCCCACCCAAGAACAATAAACAGAGAACAACAGGGTAGAGCAACGTCCTGCAAAGCCGCATGAAGTCCAAGGCCATAACATCATGCCAGCAAATCAGTTCGTGAGGGTGCAGCTCGTAACCCCAAACCCGAGTTGCTGGCGGGAGCTGGCTTCGCTCGTCATGTCAGACTTCTCCAGGTAGATATGGCCAAGCCTCGGTGTGAAACTGTCTTGAGCCCTAAGGATGTCAAGAAAGGACAACCAAGCCCCATTCCTGGCATATGTTTGTGTCAGTTGGTCGCGTCTGCCGCAGTCTCTCTGTCTTTGTACTGCTGTCCTTGCGTCTGGTGGGTCTACAACGCGAAGTGCGGAGAGCTTCGACCGATACGGTGATGGATGCATCTGCAGGCAGTTTACGCATAGAAGGTAGGTCACCGAACAGGCAGGCACAACAAAACAACAACGGATGCCCGCGCTATATCGGTCTTTGGGAAACAAGCCTGTAAACATGAACAAGCCAAGAAGACCTCGCCCCAACATGTCCAGACCAGTCACAACCACAAAAGCAATGGTACCAGCAGACATGGAAGTAGTACTTGTAGCAAGATCTATAGAGTTTGGAACGGAACATGATGCCCTGCAGCCGTGGAGCACTGAGGTTTTCGCACCGCTGTGCAAGGTCTGGCTATCCGCAGATCGGAAACTTGCAAGTTTTGCATAGAAAACGCCGTGGTGTGTCATAGGACATCCTCCGGCTGTTTCTGGGACCTCGTGCAAAATCGCGGCACATTCGGCCTTCCAGGCAGGTGGTGTCACCCGACCATGCTGGACAAGTATCAAACGCCCCAGGCGAGACATGAAGATGAAGTCTTGGGCCGACACGCCGAGCCTTTTAAAACCGAATGTCCCAGTTGCAGTAAGGCGTCTTGCAGCACCGTCGTGCAAGGAAAGCCGCCTCCCTTCCGGGAGACACGTCTTAGGGTTGAAAGTTCAGGCTCTGGGCAAGCACAATCGGTTGCCAGACTGAATATGCAAGAAACTCATGACACCGGCGCATTATCCAGCGGACCGGTATTGGAGTTGGCGCAAGGCCCACAGCTCCAATCTTGGTTCCAACATGTTGACACGCGCCGGCAAGAAGATTGCTGGCGGACGCGACCAGAGCATAGCCAGAGAACTGATGCTCATGCCGTCCTCTGAAGGATATATTGGTTGCTGTCCCAGGCTGTCCCCAAACAGTAAGAAGCCAAATCGCTCGACCTGCGACATAATGACACCGCTACCTGGAGTTTGGGGACTGTGCCTAGAGTGAAACGATTGTTCGCACGCATCGTGCAAAGGACTGCTTCTTCGAGTTAGCTTTCAGCTGTGGCGTCGAAATCTGGCTGTCCTGAGCTGGCGTTGGTGTGGCTGCAAAACTACGATAGTCTACGACTTCGACCTCGAAAACGCCTAGGACTTGTGTTCTCACCGCTTTATCATGAGGACGAGGATGCTGAGTGTGATCATCATCGCCGCGGATCCTTTACCATACAATACAATCCTGATGCCCTTCTTCTTTTCGTTGCGTGGCGAAACCGGTCAACTCCAAATAAACCCCCAAGCCGTCCCAAGCCCAATGTCCCTAATCGGACACGGGATCTTTAAGTTCTGACCGGAGATCCGAAAGTCCTCCGCAAGGCGCAGGCAGAGCCCCAAACAGCCCCAACTGCCAACTGAAGCTTGATGCCCTAAGTCCCTAGAACACCCAAAGAGCCCAGACCCTCTCCCATAACTCCCCTCACCGAAGCTGCGGCCGGTTGAAGAACTTCTTCGGCATCGTCGGGGCTCGCAGGAGACCTTCGCACAAAGCGCAAGAATCCTCTCTCTGCGCAGCCCCTCAAATGCCTTGCATACAGAAGTGCTCTTCAGGGCTTGCCACCTGAAATCCGACGAAAGAAACCGACATGCAGAGCCGTGTCTACATACAGACTCTGCAGTGGCCTGACAAAGAGAGGACGAACAAAAAACAATGGGCTGGGGCTTTGGCCTTTGGGCTTTGTGGGTATCGGTGCTCCCAACACACTGCATGGTAATTCAGGGTGAAAAGCCAAACATGAAGGTCAAATGCAGGGGCAAACTTTGTAGCAGGCACCTCCATGCGGACATCATGAGCGAATATTGTTCTTCTTGAGGCTCCTTTATTATCAGGTTCCGGCGACTGGGCTGGGGTTGATGCTTTGGAGCTGGTTGAACACAAGGGTCCGAATTGCACGAGTGCGTGAAGTGTTGAGTAAAGAGCAGGACGGAACCAGAAATGCTTGGATTTGGCGCTCATGCTTTGACTGAGCCTCGGCTTGCATATTCTGAGCTTTAGCGCGAAGACCCCAAATGGACATCGCGGCGGTGTTGCAAGGAGCGCTGAACTCTGCATCAGCTTTGACGCCGGGATGCTCTCTGCCCGCAGCTTTGGGGAGTGAGTCCGTCTTCTTCGAGGCCTCGAGCTTCACAGCCTTGTCCTTGTGCAGTGGGGTTGAGGCTCCATCATGTCTCCATCATGGCGTGAACTCACCTCCAGAACATTGCACTGCTAACATTGACTTGAACAACATGCCATCGCTTCACATCGACATCGCAGACTATCGCAAACAACCTGCGCTTTTCGGCAAGTCGGCTTTCCAGCAACAGGACATCCAGCATGTTCTTAGGGCGACGGTCATCAAATCACCGCATATACTCTCGACCGCACCAGCTAGATTGTAGGTCCTCATAAGCGGTCGACAATGACAAATCCATGCCCTGATGCCCCGCGTGCTGCCCTTCACATCGGACTTCAGGCCCGCAGCACCGCACCCTAAGGTCTATATATTGAAACTCCAAACGTGCTCCGTCGAAGCACTAATCGTAGGCGTCGAAGTAGTCATCGGAGGAGTAATGAAAGAAGTACTAGTAGTAGTAGTAGTCGTCGTCGTCGTCGTCGTCGTCGTCGTCGTACCAGCAAAAGTAGGTTGTCGACAAAGTCAG